AGAAAGTTATAGCCGTCCAAACTCTCAACATCACTGAAAAAGTTGTCATTCACCAATAGCATTGTTCCTCCGTATCCATTACATCTGCAGTATCTAGACGCTACCTTGTACTGTGAAATATGACACAACTCGTCCTCCTTAAGCCAATGCTCGGTCAACAAAACAAAAGAAGGCATATTCAAATCATTCAATAAAATAGCTAGTTCATCTAATTTCTCTCGTGATGATTGAATATTCAATAAAAATAGTGAAACTTTGCATTTGATATGCTGAAATGAATTAGAATTTTTAGCGCTGCTTTCAATATTTGAACTGGGTTCCAAAGTTTGGGCGTTGACTAAGACATTAAAAAATTACTCGAAATAAGTTCTGATATTTTCTCAGCTATCTTCGATTTTGCGATATTTTTTGGATTGTTCCGATAAAAGGTAAAAAAGGACGAGTTTACGAAAGAATTTAAATTCAAGAAAAAATTCGAATTATCTTCATGATTTTTTACAAATTCAAAGAGCTTAATATTTATCTGATCAATGAATCTATTGAGAACAACACGACTTGCCCACACGGGCGTTGACAATATTATTATATTTGTTCGAGCTCCCACTTTAGATAATCTATCGAATACTGATATGTCTACTTTACCCCCGAACCTAATTGCATTTTGCAGACCTGCACTAACAATAACGAAGTCGTTTTTGTCGAATTCTCTGGTTAATCCACATATATCTTCTGCAATACTCTCTAAGCATGCGTTGTGCTTGACAAATGAGATAGTTTTGAAATTATCAAGAGTTTTTTGTCTCTCAATAAACTTGTAAAGGTCAAAGACAGAGCTGTCTCCCAAGATAAGCATTTTATTTTCTTTTTTAACTTCATTATTTGCTTCCATCGGTAATTTGTTGTTAATATGAGCTGTGTTTCGCTCATTTAGCTGTTGTTTTCCATCAACCTGTTGGTCAGGAATCTGTTCAATTTGCTGTCTGCTTAGCTCCAGATTAATATTTACTGGCAGATTTCTAGTTCTTAGTGTGAATAACTCTTTTTGAGTCTCTTTATATTCTTTGACGTAGACCTTGTTATCTTCTTCCAGTGTTGCTATTGTCGACAACATATTATTTTTAAGCTCCAGTAAATCTTGAACCTCATTTTCTACAACCTTCATTTTTTCTTCCGTTTCTGATATGATTTTTAGAAGATTATTTACTTGTGACTGGAGCTCAAGATTTTCATTTTTTAAAGTAGTAAGATCATTTTTTTGTTTTTCAATTTCAGTTTTAAAACTCTCCTCGGCTGTGAAAACCTCGTCCTCAAAATCCATGGTTGCTCTCTGTTTTCGCTGAATACACACCTGTAGCTCTGTTTTTTCACGTCTCAAGTTTTCATTTTCTTCATTTAGTTCCAAAATTTCATTTCGTTGATTACTTATTGCCTTCTCCATTTTTGACAATTGGTCAATTAAGCTTTTGTTCTCAATGTTCATCTTTTCTAGTTGTCTGATGATTGAGCCCGTTCTTTCTTTGGCACAATCACCGCAAAAGTATGGGACTTTTCTAGATAACGTTTGAATAAATCTTATTTCCGTTGCCCCCCATTTTTCGCAATTTCTGCACGTCACCATTTTACAACCGTCGCAAGGATGGCCAAATAAATCATCATTTTCAGTTTTTTCTCTAAATACGCAGGGCAAAGAACATTTGACGCAAATGCCACTTGCTTGTACTTTTTGGTTTTGGGACATCATGTTATATAGACCCGGCTTTCCTACGCAGTTTGTTTGTTCTAGTTTCACAGCTTGAGTGTTATCACTTTGAGTAACTTTATTATTTCTTGTGAGGAATGCATTATTAGAAGTATAAACCATAGGGTTTAATTTACCAGTAGAAAACCTTAATACTTGCTTGCTACTGCTTTAAACACTTCTTTTGATTTCTAATAATAATATACCTTCGCAACATCAAATAGTTTGGCAACTTGATTAAATTCACTTCCACTTTCAGTCTCATTATTAGGTGACTCCGCATTTTGTAACCCCTTTTGTTAAAGAATTAACAAGGGGCCCATAATATGTTCAGTTTGCTCAGCGAATAATTATTAAGGGTGGGTCAATAGTTAAATAAGTACAAAATGGCAAGGGCGCCACTGAATCTATGAAAATGAATAATTAAATCACGTAAAATATTGAAGTGCAAAAATTCAGAAACACACCTAAAAAGAAATAATTGGCAAAAGGTAAAAATTTTAAAAGAACCTACGACGAAGGGGTTTGAAATTCCAACTTGGATAAAACGGGTAATCACAAGACTTTCGATTTAAACTTTTTCGGTGATCAGTGGAACTTTGTCTTACACCTTATTCCGTTAAACTATTGCCTGATGGCCGATAAGGTGTTTTTTTTTCGCGAGAACGGTAATCACACTTGAGGAAGATGGCTGCCCCCAGGCCAGGCTCAACCTTCCAGGTCGAAAGTCGAAATTTAAAAGTGGCGAAGAATAAGACATGCTGAACAAGCAGAGCTTCCCTTCAAAAAATAGCCAACGGAAAGTATGGGTACTAAACTGGAACTTGAAATTTAAACAAGAAGCGTGCCCTCTAAGTTAATAATTGCTATTATTATTGATGGCAGAAAACTTCTTTCAATAATGGCAGTCACCGGACTGTCAGCATTCAAGGCGATAATTTAATTTATGAAATAATATGAGAGAAAAAGGTACAGTAGCATTTAACATCCTACAATTTGTTCCATAATTTATTTGACTACGACCCACAGTGTTGCACTCGATGGACAAACGTCAAAAATGTATTGTAATTATTTTTGGATCATTAAATATGGCATCTATAAAGGAATGCTTGTTGAGTAAATTCAAAAATATTTTACTACAATTAACTCTTATTACTTAATTTTTACTAATTTCACTACACTCTACAATCTACAGGTTCACTAGATCTAACAGGAAGTTGAATTTTTAATTTTACATCATTTGTTAGGAAGTTTTTTCAGGTAATGACCAACGTGAAAATCAGGAACATAAGAGTCCCTGTTTGGGAATCGATCCACTGAGTAGTGGACCCCGCATTCTCGTGCCAGTCCTTGACGCATTTCGTCCTTGTTAGGACTCATCAGAAAGACATAGGCTGAAGCTCCCTGTCCAAGCAAAATTGAACTTTGTTGACCAGTCAGAAACAACTACTCCGAGGGCAAATACTCCTACCGGCGTTGAACTACACTGTACACACACAGTGTAGTTCAACGCCGGTAGGGGTATTTGCCCTCGGAGTAGTTGTTTCTGACTGGTCAACGAAGTTTACATCATTTATTTGGGCACGACTACTTGTAACCTCTGCTATATGACTTTCAGCAGATATGTTACTCTAAGGTCAGGGCTATGATGACTTGAGGCTACTTGCACCATATTTCCATTCAACGATAGTTTACTAGCACATTTAATTTAATTGAAAATATTCTTGATATGGACTTTTGTATTCTAGGTGATTGATAAAGACTTTAGAAGATCCAACTTCCCATTCATCATTTGTTTGACATCATTTTCAGAAGTTTTTTACTGGAACTAATTCCATACGAAGCACATCTAGAATTCAAATTTTTATATAGATCAAAATCATTTTTACTTGAAGTAAATCCCACAATTTCATTATTGCTCAAATGTCAAGTACCATTTAAAAGATTTAAAGTTTTGTTACTTGGTCTGAGTTTCACAGCATTTGCTTCAACGATTTTCTCGTTCGAGAATTTAGAATTAAGCTTTTATCAGTTTCATTACCTATTATAAAACTTCACATATTGAGTGTTATTACGTGGGGTACCTTCTAGGACATTCAGGCCTATGATATATTATCTCCTGTTATTTTAAAGTTGTCTAACACAACAAAATCTATACCTATCTCTATTCTTACGTGTGGAATAAACAGGGGTAGACAACTTAACGTTGCTGTTAAAATAGAAAAATATACATCATAGGCCTGGTTATCTGTGAATTTAACACGGATACTTTCACTTATGCTACTTTGAATCCTCAGTTTCACCAGTGGCGTAGCCAGCCTTGCGGGGCGGGAGGGGCAAACATATGAGGGGGCGCATAATTCTTTTGGAGGAGTGGGGGGGGGGGGGGTAACAAATAAATGTTTGTATGCTTCTGTACTATTTGCTTATTGGGGGAAAATATTGAAGACGAAGAGCCCGCCGGAGGCGAAAAATTTCCCCGGGTGCCACGCCCAAAAAAGTTTATTTTAAGCCTTCAGAAACAATTTTTATTTTTTGGGTGCCACTCCGAAAAATATCTAGGTATTGAAAAAAGTAATGTGTGGACATAACGTTAACTTAAAAAAATCCTCTCGGACGTCTCCGGAGTCCGGACGCCTTGAAAATTAGAACAAATCCGTGGAAATCTAGAGGGATGACAGCTTCTGATTTGATAAACAAAAAGAAATAAATACATTGAAATTCCTAATAATTGTTTTTCAATTTTGTTTTTCAGAAATTATTGGTGAAAAAAAAAAGAATATTGAAAAACAGCATAATTTTATAATTTCTTGTTTTTGTTTTTTAAGAGCGGTATAGGCGCCATACGTGTAGGGGCGGGGGGGGGGGGGCCGTCGCCCCCCCTGCCCCCCTACTGGCTACGCCACTGAGTTTCACTAGAACTAAGAGAAATGTGTACTACTGGCTAAGTATATTATATCATCCACTTCAATTTCAATGCACCAATGTTAATTTTCATTTCATCAACACCATCAAAAGGGTTAACATAAAAGTGGGACCCAGAATGACTCAAACAATAGTAAAATAAATTGTCTTTGAGGACCTCTGGCGTTTGCACTATGACATTATATTTTAATGATGATGTCCTTTTAACCAGGGATTTCAGAATAAATATAAGTACCTACTTCACAAGACTTATCAGATGTGGCTCGAATTTAATATGATGACTTTTGGTATTTAGAAAATCTACTCAAAGAATGTCTGAAAAGTTTTATTGAGGTATTAACAACTTGACAATATTCTTCACCTATAAACTGCTGCCCACAAATTAAAGTTACGAATATTGTCGCAAACCACAAATATCGATGCATTCTGACAGCAACCAGCTCATATCTGCTCAAAGAATTAACCAGTTATCATCTTCTGGTTTTGTCTTCGTTTTCTTTATTTTGAGTTTTGTTCGACCCTTGCACCGAGCTTTCGCGGAGGCTTTGCGGGAACACTGCAAAATCAATATTATGGTATTTTTACCGCAGGTGATACACCATTTTTGAACGAAACACTTAATATCTTTTTTTTATATTTTAAAATGTATGAATAACATTAAAAAAACATGGTTTTATACTTTACTAATTATTGTTAGAGGTTACAGAAATGGGGTCCAAACGATATTAGTATCGATGTTAAAATGCCTGAATTGGTGGCTTCTAGTAGAAATCAGATCATGTCCAAGAAAAAGCAAATTCTTCTCTTCTTGTAACAAAGATGCATGTATTGTGAAGGTATCATAGATCCTTTTGAGGAAATGTTACAATGTTCCATTTCATCCAAGTGATTTTTCGGTCGTTCCGATTTCAAAAAATTCTTTCCTATGAGACTCGTCTCCCTGATCTCGAATAGTTGCATAATTTTCATCTTCCACTACCGGTCCATTATCAACTAACTCTACCAGAGCAATACTAGTTTCCGATAGGTATAAGTCCACCATCAATTTTTCTAGAATATGTTTCTTGAAACATTCTGATATGTAATGGCGATTCAAAAAAAAAAGATATTAAGTTTGTTTCGTTTTCAAAATGGACACTCATATTTGGCGACATATAAGCACTTACCAAGATTTCCATCTTTCAATTCATAAAATATTATAGATCCAGGATTTTTTTGTTCACTTAACGCCTTTGGCTCAACTAGACCGTCACTATCTCTTGATAATAGTACACCTAGCGTAGCACTCTTACCGTTATTCTCAGTGGACTTTTCGGGTACCATCGGATTGTCTGATTCTTGGTTATTGCCTCCGATTGTTCGCGTGTCAAGGGTAATAATCAATTCTTCCTCAATTTCCTCCGCAGCCTCGGTCAGTATATGGGTCACAATTATATCTGCTAATTCCTCTATTTTCATTTCAACTTTGAAAGAAACATCGCTTTCAATTTTTTCAACTTCATCGATGGTTTCTTCATCAAAAAAAATTGTTTGATTTTGTTCAGGAACTTCATTAAATGATTTTTGCATGTCAAGGGTATCAGTCAATTCTTTTTCAGAAATTTCCTCCGCAGCCTCGTCCAGTATATGGCTCACAATTATATCTGCTAATTGGTCTATTTCCATTTCAACTTTAAAAGAAACATCGCTTTCAATTTTTTCAACTTTATCGATGGTTTCTTCATCAAAAGAAAGTGTTTGATTTTGTTCAGGAACTTCGTTAGATATTTCTGTCAGGTCATCAGATGTTTCTGTAAAAATGCTACACATCTTTGTTTGTATCAAACCGTCGTCAACTAACTCTTCCAGCGTAATAGTAGTTTCCGTAATGAGCCCACGATCAATTTTTTCGGAATCTGCGTTATTTTCTGTGGGGGCAGCAAGTTCTGTTGATTCTTTCTTTTCTATTTCATCAAGCAAGTGCTCACTTTCAATTGCATTCTTCAATGGCGTTTCTCCAAAGCTATTCCAAGTTGCATCTTCTTGTTTGATTACGAAGGTATTTTCGGGTAAGGACTGAGTTGGCTTACCACATCTCATACAACAGTCATCAGTTTGAGGTCCATTATTCATTATAAAATCATCCATATTTGCATTTGCACATTCTTGGCATATCTAAAACAGAGTTGATGTGTAATTATAGTTTGTATTTTGGATTGTTTAGCGTGACTAAGATTCGGTTTCAAACTTGAATAACTGTTAGAAGTACTTCACAGTTACTTTGAAAAATATGCAAAATTTGTTAGTCCCAATGAAAATCTATCCATTAAATATTAAGCTTTAAAGGGATGCATATACATATAGTTATATTCTAATAAAGCTCTGGCAAATCTGGTGGAGTACTGTCGGAGACACGGACGGCAACTCATCATTGGAGGGGATACAAACGCCCACCACAATCTTTGGCGAAGCGAAGACAACAAGACTTGAGGCGACTATCTAGTGGAATTTCTCATCTCCACAAATTAAGAAGTTCTCAACAAAGGCGGAGAACCAACATTTGTCACGAGCCGCTGCCAAACGGTAATAGATATTACCATTGCAAGTTGGGAACTAGCACAATATATAAAGCGTTGGAAGGTGTTAGACGAAGACACCTTATCCGACCATGGACTGATAACCTTCAAACTGGAGGCAAAGAAAATGGAGGAACGTAGGTATCGAAACCCACGTTGCACTGACAGACACCTTTTCAGGGAGCAGCTGGAAGTGCAACTGGACGGAAATCTGCCCCTCACACAATATCAGACAGGCCCAGATATAGAAAAAGGCGTACTCTCTAACTGAGGCAATAGTCAAAGCCTATGAGGCGGCATGTCCGCTGAAAACTCAAGTGAAGCAACTCCTTGGTGAAGTTCAAGACTTGAGCGACTTAAGAGAGAAAGCAACAGGCTTTTTAATAGAGCTATTTTTCGCTCAAAAGGGCGACTGACTGGGATGCGTATAAAGCACACCGAGCGCAGTACAAACGGGAAATACACAAATCACAGAGAGAAACTTGGAGACATTTTTGCAGTGATATACAAAACACTACAGCAGCAGCCCGGCTGAAGAAGGTGCTCTCCAAAGACTCTTAACCGCTAGGTCTGCTGAAAAAAGAGGATGGTACATACACCACCACTTCAGCTGAAAAGACCGAAGTTCTTACAAAGCACATGTTTCTCGACTGTGAGATCTTAGAAAACCACACCTGGAATAACCATAAGACTGTCACTCCTACAGAGGTTGATTGGCTGGTGGCCCAGGAAGTAGTTAGTAAGTCAAAAGTCGAAGATGCAATCAATAGCTTTGTAACGATGCTACATAATTTTCCTGGGGTTGAATGTGTGCTTACGATATAATTTGATATTAATTATTTCCCCGCTTGAATATATTTCGATACGCGATATTCCGGAATCGCCGCGCGCTGTACTCAACCACAAGCTCTCGCGTCGGAGTGGGGGAAAACCAGTCATGACAATAAAACCGCAGTACCCAGGCCATAGCAGGTAGACGGACACCGCCGTCTCACCGTTTCAGGTGCAGCAGCAGCAGCAGAGCGACCATCATCAGGTACCGTTTCTACCGACGCCGACGCCGCTTCCACGTCATCACGCCAGATTCAAATGTATAGGTTAGTGGTTGCTTTAAGGGTATGTCTGATACTGCCGTCTCTCTCCGTACCATGGTGACATGGTATGGAGCCGATGGTAGATTGCCTGCATTTCATCGTTTGGACCCGTATTACGTTCGATGGAATGCAGGGAATATTCAGCATTCTATATTTTACTGAGATTTGTCTATCTCTCTGCCTCTTGCTTCGGTACGGACCCGTAATACGTCCAGGGCGAGGGGATGAGTGCGGCCGAAGTCTGTGACGTCATACAATAAGGCTCCCGCATTACAAACGGTATGATGGCGTAGATTAGGCTTGTAGACACTTCTCTGTCGTCCATGTTAAAATAAGCTCTCCTCCTTGCGTCGGTGTGGACCGGTGCTACATCGGACTCAAGGGGAGTACAGCTACGCCATCTCGCCATGCCAACAGGCCCCCGTATTACAGTTCGTATGACGAGGATGGCGATGCTTTCTCTCTCTCTCCGTTTTATTCTGTTTCTTACCTGTAAGCAACCTACTGTTCAACAATGTCAGACGCGCATGCGTATTTTATATTTGCGAATCATGTATACCAGGTGGAAGCGACGATGGTCCGTTTTCTGTTCTCTGTCTCATGTTTGTGTGGTTTTATCCGTTTGCGGTCAAGAGTCTTTTACCGTCTGACGTCACTAAACTGTCCGTACACTAAATATTATACCGTATTGTTCGATCACAATTTACCGTAACCGAAAGCACGCATACTTACCCAGGTTCTCCTTTCTTTCTGAAGTAGGTTCTAAGGTTTACAATATACATGGTGATTACTGGTTAAGAATTGAGAAGAACTGGTTTAGCTTATTGTAGGTATATTTTGGCAAACACGAACGATGCTTTATTTTCCTTAATTGTTGGTTTCATTTCTACCCATATCATATCTATGACCCCTGGCATACCGTTACTCCACTGTATAAAGGCTACCTAGTGCACGTGGGCCCTTAACCACTGTAATCCTAAGGGTGGCGTCCGAGATAACCATTGGACTGTAAGTCGAAAAATCCCTAAAACATCACGATATACAGGGAGACCTAAAATAGCGCTACAGCTTCTCTCCATATAAAGCACCAGGGCTGGACGGGATATATCCGGCGGTTCTACAGTGGGGTCTGGATATTATCTTATCAGACTAGTGTTTATTTTCAGAGCGTTTTTTGCTCTGGCATACATACCATACCTGAGAAATGGAGAGAGGTAAAATTAATCTTTATACACAAGCCAGACAAAACTGATTATGCTAAGGCCAATTCATAGCGCCCAATCAGTCTCACATCCTTTCCATTGAAGGCTCTTGAAAGACTGTGCGAATGAAACTCAAGGAAAGGACCCCTTGCACGCAACCCCTTTCACTGGAACCAACATGCATATAAATCAGGAAAATCCACAGAGACTGCTCTCCACGCAGTCGTGTGCAGAATTGAACATTCTCCGGATTCGAAAATGTCCACCCTGGCAGCATTTATTGATATCGAAGGAGCGTTCGACAGAACGACCTTCGATAATTTCAAACAAGGCCTAGCTAGACATGGGGCTCCACCTATCATCACCAAATGGATAGAGAGGATGCTAAGCTGGCAGGTCATGAAAGTTGACACAGGGGACACCACTATCAATGCTCTGGTTCAGAGACGCTGCCCATAAGGTGGTGTGCTACCACCGATCTTCTGGGACCTTGTGGTAGACAGCCTCCTACATAGCTTAAATGATGCGAGATTCCCTACTATAGGTTACGTAGATGACTTGTGCATTCTGGTTACAGGCAACGTTGAGAGCGTTCTATGCGATCTCATGCAAACGGCCAGCAATGGAGGTGGTCTTGGATCTGCCTCCTCTGCACGTGTATGTAGAGGAGATGGTTCTTTTGACCGCCTGCAGATTAAACCCCTTGGGCTTGTGGAAGCACGGAAGCTGGGTGGGGGGACACTGCGGCATACTAGCGGAAGGGTGCAGAAATGCACTCTTGCTGGGTGCGGCGGTGGATCGCACGATGCCCACACAGATAACAAAAAGATCCTACAGTGTCTATAACTAGGGTGAGGCGCAGAGGCTACCCCAACGGTCTCAATATACACGGACGGATCGAAAACCAGTAAAGGAACAGGAGCGGGTGTTTTCTCACCTGAACTGAACCTCCGCATAAGTAGCTCCCTTGGTGACCACCCTACCGTTTTTGAGGCGGAATTGATGGTCATCCAGGGAGCCAAGACAGCCATCGATCAAGAAATCGACGGCGGACGAGTGCGATTTTAAACGGATAGTAAATCCGTGCTATCGGTTCTTGCCAGTGCTAGAACAAACTCAAAGCTGATTATGCAGTGTATAGAGGCTCTAGAAGAACTCGCACAAAAGAACAACGTTGAACTCTGTTGGGTCAAAGGGCACGATAACAACGCAGGCAATGAAGAGGCTGACAGTCTTGCCAGAGCAGCTTCAAGGAAGGCCCCGATGGGACCTCAACTCATGATCCTTCTGTCAACTAACACCGTCATTGCCGAAGTTAAACAAATAACTCGTTCAGAGCACGCCAAAATGTGGCGCAGTTTAGACACTTGTAAGCAGGGCAGATCATTGATCGACGTCTCTAGCAGGAAAACAGCCGAGTATAGTATACAGTTGTCGAGAGAAAACCTCCGCCTACTGGTAGGAATTTACTCAGGACACTGTAGACTAAATAAATACCTTTACACCTTGGGTGTTGTTGAGACCCCAATGTGTAGATGGTGCGACGCTGCAGACGAAACGGTTGAGCATGTGCTCTATCACTGCCCAACCTTTTGTCAACAACGGCAAGCCATATTGGGGGACATCTGGCCTGATATGGCCAGGTTGAGGCGCACCTCACCTGGAACTCTCCTGCAATTCATCCAACGGGTGCGATGTCTCCGGAAGACCCCCGGGGAGGAGAATGCGCCTTAACAAATGGAGGTGACACAAAGGGCCCTAAGGCGAGGCCTAGTGTCAGTGGGGTTACTCACCCTCCTTTGCAACTATCCAGAGATCCAGATCCCACTACATAAAAATAAACTCGACCGTGCTGAAGTCGAAATAAACAAAAAAATTATCTGTCTAATACTGCTAAGCTATCTGTTCGACCTACTGATAAATTAAATGCAAAATATTAGCAAACATAATTGGACGCTATCGTATCGTCATCCATCTGCTACTCTTACAAAGCGGAGCACAAAGTTTACTAATAAGCTTCGATCCAGACCAGAGAGACACGAGATTAATTACATTTATATTTGATTCAAACCGCTAGTCTAATTATGGAGAGCGACTCGAAACTAACCAACGAAGGGTTGTCATCGCCGGCTTCCTAATTTTTATAAAAAAATATTTTTCACAATTTTAGGTCGATCAAAGAAGAGTATTTAAAGTCTTCTTACTACCTAGTTATAAATGTCTCTTGGATGTGAATATTGAAAAACTCGTGTCTCTATTAGCCTGTAAATTAGTGTATCATTTTTTTGTGAGGAAAATGAAGG